GTTGTGCTGTGTTGTTTCCTGAAACCAGACTGATGTGGAGGTAAGATGTTAAATGAGTCCAGGTAATTTTTGATTTGAGAGTTTATCAGTTTTTCTAGAACCTTGGCTAAAATGCAGAGTTTAGAGATTGGTCGATAGTTGTTCAGTGAGGTGGGGTCACCTCCCTTCAGCAAAGGAACTTTAACAAGGTAAACTTTAAAACTTTAAATGAACTCTAAAGAAAAGCTGGTTTACTGAATCTGAATACACATGAATCAAATATTGCGTTAATATTTTGAAAGATATGAACTCAGCACATATGATCCTCAAGCAGCTTCTCCTGTGAAGACATGCCAGTGTGTGCGTATCATTTCCTCTTCATTGCACAGCCTCACCACTTTTCATTATGTTGGTCAGTAAAAAGCTGAGCTGTAGACGTCGTCTCTAAGGCTCTGCATTGTTAACAATATACGTAACTACTTGTCCTTTTCTGTCCTAATAAAGCAACTTGTGTCAATGTTAGCAATTTACTGTGCAAAACATTAGATAACTTCCATTGAAACAGCTTGACTCTGAGCTGTATGAAGCCGTCCAATCCATAGTAATTTTACATGCAAGTACAACCAAATTCAAAACCCAGTTAAAGGTGTTTTTTTTTTAAACAAAGTTACAATTCTAAAATACTTAACTACAGAGTAGTATTTGACTATGTGCTGACTCATGCTTTCAAAAGAGAAAGTTGTTTCAATTTTGGTTTAAGAATAACAGAAACTCTCATTTGAATAGAAAAATGTCTAAAATCAGAAATAAGATTTTGTTTTATTACTATTTATATTTTAAATTGGTTCTTAAAATATAATCCAGGAGATTCGACACAGAGAGGCTTTTATTCTCACCAGTCAGGTGAAAAAACACAGAATGACAAAAAAAAATCTGCAATGCCTTCAGCTTCCTGAACAACAAGCCTCTGTTTTAGCTGCTAAAACGACAGCCTGAACACAAAACATCACTTTTTGGGCGTTTTATTTATTATTCAACCATAGACCGTCTGTTGACCTTTGACCTTCTGATAGACGGTTTGACCTTCCTTTGTTCACATAAATAAGATTTTTATTTAAAGTAACAGCGAATCAAGTCACAGCGGAAAATGTATTGCTTATTTTTAAGATAATCCGTATTCCAATTAAATAAAATGGCGCATCATTATTTAAGGCCTCCTAAACCCCTTAATTGGAAAAAATGTGACTTATTTCTGCGGGAGTTGAAATCCATCGCTCCGGGAAACATGTGAACGTGCAAACAAAGAGCACTTTTCTCGTTCTTTCGCAGAAGATTTGAAAACATTTACCGCTGAAAGGCAGAGACGTTTGCAGAAACAAAACAACCTCTGTGACTGCTCGACGAAGAAATCTGCTGAAAAATACATTAATAGCTTTAGCTGTCCTAAATAAACCGACTCAATTTTAAATCCACTTCTGTTTTTGAGTAACTAGAATCACAGCCCAAAATGCAACATATCAGTGTGAAAACCTACAGGCTACTCTGCGTTCATTTACTTTTTATATACACGAATGTTTCTGCTCAGAGCCCTGACGACTTCTGTTGTCACGTGGTGCTATAGAAATAAAATTAAATGAATCGTTTGCAGTAAAAACGCACTCTGTTATGTAAAATATACCTCATAGATTCGAGTTACCAGTAAGCTTTAAAAAAAAAAAGACTTTTCACGAAAATTTAAATAAAAATAAGAGATGGTTATTTAGATGAAGGAAACCCAACATTGTTCAGTCAGGTCATATGGACGGTTGTTGTTTTTTGTACTGAGACGTTTTGCCTTCCATCCAGAAGGCTTCATCAGTCTGAGGAAACACCAAACTGATTCTCCACCAACAGCTTAGTCCAAAGTGGAAGAAAACAGTGAACACTTTTCTATTAAATAAATCATGCACGATATCTCCACTTATTCAGACTCAATCCCATTGATAATAAAATGACCACATATAAAAAAAATGCTGCTGGAACAAGTGCTAAACTCAAAGTTGTGGATGTTTATCGTCAAAGTCTCTGTACAAACTTTGAGCCTTTCACTTTAGGCTCTAAAACAGTTGAACATGAGTAAGAAACAGTAATTCAACACCTCAATGGGGAAAAGCGATATCTGCCTGTGATAATAATAATAATAATAACCTATTTTACAAGATACTTCAAGATGAGCCTGAGTCGCCTTCTTCCTGCCTTGGTGTGACTTATGAAAAGACAGAGTTGTGTGCAGGTGTGTGTACAGGTGTGTGTGCAGGTGTGTGTACAGGTGTGTGTACAGGTGTGTGTGCAGGTGTGTGTGCAGGTTTGTGTATAGGTGTGTGTACAGGTGTGTGTGCAGGTTTGTGTACAGGTGTGTGTGCAGGTGTGTGTACAGGTGTGTGTGCAGGTTTGTGTACAGGTGTGTGTGCAGGTGTGTGTGCAGGTGTGTGTGCAGGTGTGTGTGCAGGTGTGTGTGCAGGTGTGTGTACAGGTGTGTGTGCAGGTGTGTGTGCAGGTGTGTGTGCATGCATGCAGTTGCTCTACAAACTAAGCTGGGCTCTTATCAGTGCCTGTCTGAGCTTGTCAACAAGTCTGTCCAACCCACAGAAGCCTGGAAACGAGAACTTTATGCAGATTTCTTCAGGGAAGTTCAAAATTGTACAAAAAGAGAAAAAAAAGTTAATTGAAAATCCATTAATTTAATTTAATATAGCTTTTACTGAAGGTTACAGTCTGACGGATGCTCATTCTTTCAGACTGGGTGACAATGTAAGAATGAAACAGGCTGAAAAGAAGAAAATTGTTTGCAAATATCTTTTGCTAGTCTAAGACAAGCAAGTGCAGCTGATGGTCCTCCCTTTGTCGTACACCCGATACAAAACGTCTGAAAGCTGCAGGAGTGCAGCAAATGAACGCTCTTTGAACAACTTATCTTTCTCTTCCGGTGGCTGTCTCTCTTATGATTGAAAAAAATGAGACGGTGAAAATGGGACTAAGAGAGGGTGGATGAAACAATTCACAAAGAGCGGTGCGTGTTTGACATGAAAAACCATGAGAACTCAGGAAATTAGCTCGGCCCATTTGGGGTTAGGAGCTCTGGGAATATCAGTGTCTGAGACGAAACAAGAGAGGCCCTAAGGTGCAGGATGGAGGAGAGGCAGACATTATGATGGCTGTTCAGGTCAAAACAAAAAGACTAAGCAGAATGAATGGACGAACATGAAGAAGAACACAAGCACATTCGTTTAAAGATCAGGTGGTCACAGCTTTGATCAAAAATTCAGGTTTTCATACAGTTTTAACAAAATCTAAGCAGAAATACTGACTATCAATTAATCTGGCAAACAACTCAGAAAAACTCTGTGTGGCCGTCCTCAGGAAAGTAAACGCCGACCTCAAGATGCTAATTTATTACAATGGAACAAGAGCGTTTAATATTTTCAATGTTGATTATTTGAAATTTTGACCAAACAGGCTAAAGCTGTTAAAAATGTAGAGTTTTGATGGTATTTGTAACCGACCAAAATACTGACCCTATAAACAATGCCTTTTATGGCAGTTTACTCATTTATTCACCAACTAAATGTACTAGTATCCTAAACATAGAGAGCAAATAAATGCTGTGTAAGTACTCAGTGTTGATTTACTGTCTGAGACATTGGGATTTCCTGCTTATATTAGTTACATTTTAAAAAATCACACTAATAAAAAACTCATATTTTTTCACTAACATGTTCATCACAAACGTCCTGCTGTCTGACTAAATCCTCCGAGCACATTGCAGCTGAAAGATTTTGATTGAGCCTTTCTGTGCTGCCGCCCATTTAATCAGAGCCGACATTGATTTTCTAGATCAGCTAACTGCACTCATTCTGCACATAAAACCATCAACTGTCCCTCTCCATCCAGTCGACCCTCTCAGCTCTCCATCTGCCTGATGCTCTATCCATCTCAATCAACTCAAGACACATTTCCCATAAATGTGTGCGCTCCGCTCTTATTGTAATCAGCTGAGTGTCTGTGCACAAATGCACCAACAACACAGCCTCTGTCATGGTGGGTTTATAGAAGTGGACCTTTCACTCCAAACGGTCTTCACTGTCCGATCCTCTAGGAGGACTCGGCATCGCAGCAGGGCCAACGGGCCGGTAGTCAAAAACACATGAATAATTTCATACTCTCTCAGAGGCAGTAGCTGAAACTGCCTTGTCCATTACAAGATGTGCTCGTTAGCTCTAAAAAACCATAT